AAAAAAGTATTTCGAAACAAATATGCCAGCTTCCCATCACATATATAAAATTATAACATTGATTACATAACCTGTAAATTTAGATATGCCTGTACAAAACCAAAGAAATGCAATAAAGGTAGTTTTCGATTTATGACTACAATTTACCCCAAAATTTCTGTTGCTGAGCAAGACAGTTATTTAGTGAATTTTGCCCCATTTTACCTCGTTTTTAAGCGAATCATTGCAATTGTTAAGTTAGTAACAGGGCTGTTAATTGAATCTGGTTTTTGCTTGTCAGAAGGTTGCAAAAGGTGATCACATGACCATGGGACACTGTATTCATCATAAATATGAGCCAGTTGCCAAGCAGCCAAATTTTGATCATGTGATCATGGGGATGCTGCAACATCCATATGTGTGAAAAACAGTCATAAGTCATGGTTTTCAATGCCGCTGTAACTTTGGCCACTAAATGAATAGTTGTAAGTCAAGAATAACCTGAATTACAATATGGAACTTTATTTTCTTTGCTTTTTTATTACTTTCATTGCTTGATATAGAATATTTTTGAATTTTTTAAAATGCACTTGTTAAATTTTGAACATTGTTGTATAAAAATATTTCCCTATACCAACAGAGCCAAGAATCTTTCATCCCACAGTTTTCGGATGCCAAGGGTTTTCAGTCCATGAAAATAAATGCCACGACAAACTGGCTTGTCTTGAAGCTCTTACAAAACTCTGATGTTCCTGTGGCCACAGACATGCAAATCAACCTAAAACACTTTATACTCAGAAGTAAATCCTATTAAATCAATGAAGCATATTCCCTAATAGGTTTTAGATCCTATTATAGCTAGAATCTAATGATATATAATATGGCCTATTTGTCAAAAGAATCTTCAAAATACTACAAAAATCAGTATTGTTTATCCAATTCATTCACAAAGTGATTCTACAATTGTAAAAGGTGTCAATAATATGCAAGTATAATAAAGAACACAAATTTATACAAATTTGCATATTTTACTATGAATGAAAGAAAATATGAAAGAAATTTGTATATCATCTTTCTCAAGGCTCAGCTTCATGTCCTTCTAATTATGGCATACAGATATCTTAATATAACCTCATGAAATTGTCTCTGTCTCATCTCAAGTCTACAGTAAATTTCTATTTAGAAATTCCAGTCTTAAAAGTAGTGTGTTCCTTCTTCTCCCAATGCAATTTTGGCCTTAGACACTCAATCTGAACTTTCCCAGTGATGTGGTTATTAGCAGAGTTGAAAGTTGAATATGCTTAGCTCCTGGGTGTGTGTGAGACAGCTGCCTGCTTTTTTCTTTTCGAAAAAGGATTGGATCTGTATTTTGCAAAAAGAACAAGAGTTATCCTGAGCAATCACCATTTCTACACTACATAGCAGGTCACTTAAATGGGGAAAAAACTAGGCTCCACTAGTTATGTTGCTAGGCCTCTTGCAGAATACCTTCCTGCCTGCAACCTGTTGGATGGGCAACTTGACAAGCCTACCATTCTAAGCACCCAGCTTAACTCACCTCAGCCCAGCCCACCTCACTTCATATTAAGGAGAATGATCAACGTGCTCTTTGTTGCCAGCAGGTGATCTTGGCAGAAGAAGAAATGAAAATACTTTCATCTTCACTTTTGCAGTAAAATTGTAAGGACAAACAGCCCTTATTATTCAAGCAGAATAGGACTCAGCCATGGGAGCTAGCTCAAGGACTAGAAGACAAGAAGTTCAGGAAGAAACCTCAAATTTCAGGTGCGATGGACTTCAACTCCCATAATTTTTAGCCACATTAAGAGAGATGAAGTCCAATACCTTGGGAAAGAAAACATTTATAGAATACTAATTTGAATAGCTCTTGCAATGTTCCTGATTTATAAGGGCACCATTACCATTGAAAAGGAGGACGTACCTTTTTTACTATACTGTTTTCTAAATAAAAATCCTCAAAATTTTCATTTTTTTATCAAAGGGAAGAAATATACACAGAAAAACAGCAATGCTGAGAGATGGTGGAGAGTCAGTTATTTCATTCAGCTAACCCTATTTAGAACTGATCAACTCAAAAAACTGCATCTCTTAACATGACCATCAGGGCCAAATATGACCTTCATATTTGACTCTCATTTAAGAAAATGTTTAACAGCGGTACAGGGGCTCTAAATTTGTTTGATAAAAGGGGTCTTTTTTCCTTATCTTTTTCTATGCATCTATCAGTTGCCTATATCAAAGTACTGTAAGGTTGTGATAGCTTCCTATTGCTCACAGAATCATAGATGGGGGGAGGGATATGAGTGAAGAAAAGGGTTAAATATATTCCTTCCTTCCTTAAATATATTGTTTTGCAGAACAATTCCATACAATCTATGGAACAATTCCATACAATCTATGGATAACTTCCCCGGCACTCATGGGCCCTGATTTTATAAAAGTGTTTAGAATCATACAGGAACTTAGCCTTATGTAAGAAAAAGTGAAACATTCAAACATTGGAATAAAGGAATAAGATTCTGTTCCTTGGGCAGCATATAAACATAGTAGAGCTTTTTAAAGATTGAAATGTCTGACCTCTGGAGATAAAATCCATAACTGGACTGTCTCTCTGGCTGGCTATTTTGTGGTCATGGAATCTCAAAAAAGATGGAACTGGGGAATATGTTGCATCCAGCACCCCCTTTTTTTTTGCCCTATCTTACATATAACAAATACTTTTTTAGTTAACTTTTGCAATGGGAGGATTTTCTTTCAGACAAAAAGAACGAGGAAGAGCAATCTTTGCCTTTACTGGTTTGTTTCCATGGGGTGCTTGGAATAATCAGAGCACTTGATTGTCAGAATAAAGGCCCCTTTATTCTGTAAAAAGTCAAGTCTCCTCTGTCAAGTTCAGTCCTGGTGAATTGATAGACATGGCCATGCAATTTTCTCAGCAACAATATAAATTTGGTTTGCCATTGCTTTCTTCTCTGACATTTCTAAGCCCAGTATAGCCTATAATTCTGGGAATCCCTAGTGATCTCCTCCTATCCAAACAAGTAGGATGAAATGATTAAGGACTAGAATGTTGGAACACACGCACACACACACACACACACTGCAGTGTGGTTGTTGTGGTGATAACATGAGAGATTATCATCAAGCTGACTTGAGTTGGAAAAATGTTTCCTAAACCTCATAAATTGAGCATAATAAACAGCAGGGGGAAGGACAAGGGCAAGAATTGCCCTGAGAACCACTACAGACATGCCAAAGATTCATCATTTGAACCAGATCAGTAGCTTTATTCAAGACATTAGAATAAGACAACGCAGTTCAATATTTTGTGTTTCTCACACACTTTCATTTCAATTCTAATATCTTTAGAATTCGCAGTCATAAGCATGCAGGGATGCTCCTAGCAGTGCTGTTTGATGTTTTGGGCTCTCTTTCCGTGAAGGGCACAATAGCTTTTGCTCTTTTCACGATTATTCCGCCGCTATCGTGCGGCGAAGTTAACGTTTTGCGTGGGCGGCAGCAGCGGCACTAAAAGGACAACAACGAACTTTCAAAGGCGCTGTGATCTCGGGCCTCAGTTTCTATTGGAATCGGCTGAAAATCGAGCATCTAACGTGGGGGAACCGTCCATCGGCCAGAAGAGCCAAGATTTCTTTCTGGCGACCGCGAAGGGCTTCCCTCTAAACCTCGGCTGGCAAGATGGGCTGCCCAGCTGCAGCTGGAAAAACTTTCTGCATCTCTCAACGGAAGTGGGGGCGGTGGACGACCGGGAGAGTAGCGAAGCCGCCCCAAAGATGCATGGGGGGGGGCAGAGGGCCCCGAGGCGGGGCAGGGCGGGCACCCAGCGGAGTCAAGCTGCTCTTACTAGCCAGCCGACCAGCCAGGCTGCCTTCCGCCGCAGTAGCCCGGCGTGAAGACCAGTGCAGTGCTGGGGGTTTTTTTTGGTGGGAGAGGTGGAGGGAGCTGAGAGTCGCGGAGTGGCAGGCGGCGCGTCCAATGGGAAGACATCAGGACGACCACGGGGGCCGAACGAGGGCCGGTGGCGTGGAAGCTGCAGCTCCCCAGCCATTCAATAGAGGGGGACGCGAGCCTGACGGGAGGACGCCGCCGCCGTTACTACTTAAAGACTACCGCCGCCGCCGCCGCCGCTGCATTTTGGCTCCGACCGCGTCGACCTCCCTGCAGCTTTGGGATTTCGGGGGCCGGGCGAGAAGTGGCTCTCTTCCAAAGTCTCGATGGACTCGCGATGGAGCGTCATCGTCTGAGCGCTGCCACTGCTGCTGCCGCCGCCGCCGCCGCTGGTGCAGAGAGGCCGGCTTCTGCTCCTCTTCTCTTCCTGCAGGATCCGGGGTTCGGCGGACGTCGGCCAGCAGCCGCGATGGGCAGTCGGCACCTCGGAGGACGGATATTCAACGACTCTTTCGCGTCGCCTTAGCGGCGGCGCTTCTCACGCCACCTCGGCCACTAACTCGCTCAGCATCCCCAGACCGCTCATCCATGCGGCGAGGGAAGCCGAGCTTGGCCGCTGCGTGGAAGAGTTGATAGTCCCGCACTTCCCCGCAATGCACTTACTCAGGAATCGGGGGCTCCGCGACCTCTGAAAGTTTGCTCCCTCCCTCGACTCTGCGTCAGGACCTCGCCGGCCGCTTGGCTGCTGAGCGGAAACTCTCCGGCTTCGTGGAAGGACGGAGAAGGAACGGCCGAGTCGTCTCCTGGGATGATGATGATGTATTAACTGGGTGCAGGGGAGTTCCCTTCGGCGGCTTCCGCTGGATCTAAGCTTTTCTAGGGAAACCTCGGAAAGCGACGAGAGGTAGGAAGGACGGGAAGTTCTCCTGAGCGGCGACGTGTAGGCGAGTGAGTGGCAAGAGGAAGGCGGGCCTCCAGGGAAGACGGCGGGATGCCCTCCTTGCTGGGTGGGAAGTGCTGGGACATCCGGACTCATGTCTACCGATTCGCTGTTGGAAGCCTTTGCCTGTGATATGCCTCAGTTGGCAGGACTGGTTTCCAGTCCTGTCTCCAGCTTAGCAACATGAAAGTGTTCCGTAGAAAGACTCTGGTGCTCTGCTTGGGCTATGTGCTGCTGCTGCTGCTTACGATGCTCAACTTGCTGGACTACAAGTGGCACAAGGGGCCACAGCAGTGTAGTGACCCCTCACCTCCCCGGCGCGTATCCTATCTGCAGCAGCTGCCTTATTATGCCTCTCAGTCCAGGTCAGACACACGGGCTCTCTATGGGCCTCCTGTGCCCATGGCCCGCAAGCGGCAGCTCATCTATGTTTTCACCACTTGGCGTTCAGGTTCCTCCTTCTTTGGGGAGCTCTTCAACCAGAATCCAGAGGTCTTCTTCCTTTATGAGCCTGTATGGCACGTGTGGCAGAAGTTGTACCCAGGAGATGCTGTTTCCCTTCAAGGTGCAGCTCGGGATATGTTGAGTTCCCTCTACCGCTGTGATCTCTCTGTCTTCCAGCTCTACAGCACTGCAGGGGCAGGAAAAAATCTCACCACCTTGGGCATCTTTGGTGCATCCACCAACAAGGTAATCTGCTCCTCACCTCTCTGCCCAGCTTACCACAAGCAAACTGTGGGCATGGTGGATGACAAGCTGTGTAAGAAGTGCCCACCGCAACAGCTCAGTCTTTTGCAGGATGAATGCCTCAGGTACCACACTTTAGTCATCAAAGGCGTGCGGATCTTTGACATTGCAGTTTTAGCACCACTCATCCAAGACCCTTTCCTGGGTCTCAAAGTTATCCACCTGGTCAGGGACCCTCGGGCTGTGGCTAGTTCCAGGATCAAATCCCGCCATGGGCTCATCCGCGAGAGCTTACAGGTGGTGAGAAGCAGGGACCCTCGAATCCATCGAATACCATTCCTGGAAGCAGGCCACAAGCTGAACAAGAAGGAAGGGGGAGGTGGTTCAGACTACCATGCCTTAGGAGCTATGGAGGTCATCTGCAGCAGCATGACAAAGACTTTGCAAATGGCTTTGCACCCACCCGATTGGCTGAAGGGGAATTATATGGCTGTCCGGTATGAGGACCTGGTTGTGGACCCCATCAAGACTTTGCGACAGATCTACGGGTTTGTCAATTTAGTGGTGAGCCCAGAGATGGAAAGGTTTGCTCTCAATATGACAAGTGGACCTGGATATTCTTCCAAACCTTTTGTGGTCTCTGCCAGGAATGCTAGCCAGGCAGTTAATGCCTGGAGGACCGCACTGAGCTTTCATCAGATTAAGCAAGTGGAAGAGTTTTGCCACCAGCCTATGTCTATCCTAGGCTATGAGAAAGCCAGTAGCCCAGAAGAAGTAAAGGACCTTAGCAAAACATTGCTTAGGAAGCCAAGATTGTGAAAAGGATGTGTGCCTTTCGACACATAAGGACATAGAGAGAGAGCCATCTACAACCTTTCACTTACAACGAGAGGGAGAATGCAAAATACAGCTTTGTCTTAAAAGATATATTGTTCATTTTACTTCTCCAGAGACTACTGAGAATTACACATATTCACATTTTTGCATTGCTGTGCTGATATAATATTTGTAAGACTTTATTTTTGCCCTCCAGACTTTCAAACACATGATTCAGTACATACCAGAATCTTTATATAGTTGTTGTGATAGTAATCATGAGAGCTTTGCACATTTGTGGTGAGTGTTGGGTGGCATCTGAGGTAAGGGACTAATCAGTAAAACAAGATTCAGAGAACTGATCTTTTTGTATAAATGTTTAAATGTAATGAAGAACTCAATAAAAGTTGCTCATTTTACAGTGACTTGATTGTATATGTATATATGCATATATTGATGATGCTTATGATGAAAGTCCTTTAGAGAGTTTGCTGATTGTCAGAAAAAACCTGTTTTTTACTTTCTTAAAAAGCAGATAAATGGATTCTTGTTTTTACTGTCTGTATAAAAAAGATAAAAAAATTGATAAACAGGATGCCAAAATATCTATCGATAGAAATAGTTTCCCATTCAAAAAGGTCTAGGTTGAAAAACATTACTTAAAACAATTTTACATGTCCTTATGCCACATTGCAACAAAAACGATTGTAAATTAAATTGCACTTTAGAGAACAAACAGTTTATTGTGGCATAAACTTTTCATCAGATTCCTGAATTGTTAACCTTTACTGAATTGTTAAAACTTTACATCTGTAAATTGGGAAGTCAAGAGGAAATAGTATGGTGTATGTGTTACTTAACAGTGCTATTTACCTAAGTAATAGTGATCATTCTCAAAAGGATAACATAAGGCAGTTTTGGTTTAATCAGCTGATTTTGTTTTTAAGTTTGAGAGCTACTGCACAAACTATGCAATTATATATATTTAAAATATATTATGAATATAAATAAATGGAAACAGCGATACATTTATCTCTGACAAAGAATTTTTAGAGAAATATAAAAAGGAAGCACAGTGTCATGCATTAAGCCAGAATAATAATACCAACACAGTGCAATGAAACAATGTTTCCTTCCTTGTGATTAAAAAAAACCTTAGTCTTCGGAAAGATTTTAGAACTATGCTTTATCATTGCACTTTTAGCATATGGCATTCTCATGATATTTGATAAATTATTTAATGTTTTATTGTTTACTGTAGAATCCTAGGCTTGGGAAACACTCTCTCTCTCTCTCTCTCTCTCTCTCTGTGTGTGTGTGTGTGTGTGTGTGTGTGTTTAAGCCAAGATTAAGGTGCTATGTCACTATTCACCCAAGCTATATTTCTTTTTAAACAAAATAATTTGTTCTGGCTGCAGTTCTGGACTTTAAATGGATCTTGCTGGTTTTCTTTCTAAATCTAGGAGAGAATGAATTAACAGTTTTTTTTAAAGGCATTGCTTGTGGCCTATAGAAACTGCTTTAGAATCACACAGCAAATTTTGTAAGAAAATACGTAAAAAAACAAACAATGCATTGGAATGATGAGCAATGTATCTGAATGCTGTGATGTTCATTATTCTAGAACAGGTATTCTGGGAGTTGAACTCTACAGATCTTTGAGTTGCCAGGTTTGGAAAACATAGTTCTAGAACACGGGTTGGCAACCCGTGGCTCCGGAGCCACATGTGGCTCTTTGAGTGTTCTCCTGCAGCTCCCAGCCTCCTCTGCATTTGGAGAGAGAGAGAGAGAGAGGGAGAGAGGGATAGAGAGAGAGAGGGGGGGGAGAGAGAGAGGCACTTGCGCTTTGCTTCTCTCTCTCTGTATGTATGTAAAAAAGAGAGTGGCCTCTCGCTATTCTCCGACAAGCTGACAAACTTATTAGGTGGGGCTCCTGCCTTGGCTGGGTCTTTGCAGGAAGCAGGAAGCAGCAAGAGAGAGAGCCAGCCCAATAAGAATGTGTGTTAGCTTGTTGGAGAACAGTGTGAAGACAGCTTGCCAGGTGAGCTGAAAATTGAGAGAGAGGAGAGAAGAGAGAGAGGGGGGGGAGAGAAAGAGAGAGACAGAGGAGAGAGAAAAAGGGAGAGAAAAAGGGAAAGAAAGGGAGAAAGAGGGAGAGGGAGAGAGAAAAGGAGAGGGAGAAAAAGGGAGAGAAAAGAGACGGAGAGAGAAAGGGAGAGGGAAAGAAGGACAGACAGACGGAGAAAAAGAAGGGAGAGAGGAAAGGGAGAGAAAGAGAAAAAGAGGGAGAGAAAAAAGGAGAGGAGAGAAAGAGAAGGAGAGAAGGGAGAGAGGAAAGAAAGGAAGAAAGGGAGAAAAGGAGAAGGAGGGCAGAAAAGAGAGAGAAAGGGAGAGAGAAAAAGGGAGAGGGAGAGAGAAAGGGACTCATGCACAGCATTCTCTATTTCTTTTTAAACTCTTCAATCAACCCTTCCCTTTGGCACGTGCGCATGCATGCGCAAGTTTTGCAGCTCCCAGTGTTTTCTGTGGAAAATGGGTCCAAGAGGCTCTGAGTATTTATGGTTGCTGACCCCTGTTCTAGAACCTTAAGCAAAAGAAACAATGTTATTGGAGTATAATGCTAATGTGTTCATAACAAAGTAGTTGCTGCTAAGAAGCAAATGCTATTTAAGTCTCCAGTTCTGTGTTGACATAGGGATAAGCGTAATTGGACTCAGTATATTTAAGTTTTGGCAATAAATTAATCAGTATCGTTCAGTGAGGAAAGTAAAAGATATACTTTGAACCTAATAATATTTTAAGGATCTTCCTTTCCTAACATTGAATAGAGCATTATTATTGGCTAATGGGCAGTTGTTAAGTGAGATTACATGCCAATAGTGCTTATTTTCTCTCTATGTATAGAAAGCTTGGAAACTTTGAAAATGCTCTGAGGGTGCCTAATAGTGGATTCAAGAATTAATTATCAACAAGTATCTTAATTGGATTGTCCTAACAGCAAAACTAAATGTTACTGCATCAGAATTTTAGATTTGAATTAAAGGGTATTCTTAGTATCTTGGGCTGTGTGCTATGGTTCATTTTAATTCTATCCTTGAAGGAATGCTACCTTTTAGACGCTTAAGATGGCTATTACTGAGGAGTAAGGATTGTGAAAGTCAATGTGTAGACATAGAATTGCCTGTATTATTATTTTTCCTCTCTTCATTTGCTATTTCATTAAGTGCCTTCTTCTGAAGCCTGTGTCCCATTCTCCTAAATGTTTTAATTAGAAAGGTGAGGTACTTCTGCTGAAATTGTAATTCATTTTTTTCTAAGAGACAGATGCAGATACTCTGCCAAGGACAGGAACTTTTTGATCTTGCTGAGTTAAGAGTAAATGTTCAAATTGGTTCTTGGGCTCTGCCTATACCACAGGTTGGCAACCTGAGGCTCCGGAGCCGCATGTGGCTCTTTGAGCCTTCTCCTGAGGCTCCCAGCCTCCTCTGCCATTTGCAGAGAGAGAGAGGCACTTGTGCCTCCCCCCCGCTCTCTCTCTCTCTCTCTCTCTCTCTCTCTCTCTCTCTCTCTCTCTGACACAAGCTAAACAACTCAAATAACAAAAGTACAAAAGTATACAAAGCAAGCTGTCATGGTTCCGACAGATGAAACTCTTCAAAAGAACTTTCAGGTATTGTTTACCTTAAAGAATCTTTATTTTGAGTAGCATAACTTCAGCATTGCATAATTGAAGCCAAAAACTGAATTCCCCTCGCCTGAGCACATAGTATCAAAGCACAATTCTCTCCTTCAATTAACAGTCATAAATCATATTTCCCAATTAGCTTGAAGTGCAGGCCTCCTCTCCAGTTTTCCAGTCCACCAATTCCTTATCATCTCTGGTTACAATAACCTTGTTTCTCACGCTAGGTCTAGTGTTATTATGTCTAACTGGACTCTGTTCACATCCCCCCTCCCAGATTATCTAATTCTAAAAGCAAAAGGTAAAAGATGGCTACATTTCCCTTTGTTTTCAATGCAAAACATCCGATGTTAGCAGCGTTGACATCTGCCCCCCTTACAAAAAGAATAAATCCTGTATTATAAACAAAAACACAGATTAGGGATTGTCTCTCGGTTTGTTAGGGTGTTTCTTATAAAACCTGTTAATGAGTCTATCAGCTTTCACATCGCTAGACTTCACCCAAGTGGTTTCAGGCAGTGAATATCCTTCCCATTGTACTAAGTATTGCAATTTCCCTTTAAAAATTCTAGAATCAAGAATACTTGATGCTTTACTTCATAGTGAGTCTGTCCTGCTACCACGAGGGGCCAAGGTGCTTTCTTAGGGGGAGATCTTAAAGTGGAACCCCGATAAGGTTTCAACAGGCTGCAAGGGAAAACAGGGTAAATTTTTCCTAAGAGCTTAGGGAGTTAATTCCACTGTGACTGGGTTAATGATCTTTACAATGGGGAAAGGTCCCAAGAACTTCGGCCCTAACTTCTTACTAGGTAATTTGAGCTGTAAATATTTCGTCGACAGATAAACCTTTTCCCAAACTTGGAATGTTCAATTAGGAGCCCTTTTTTTTAATCCGCCTGCTTTTTATATGTCTCAGAAGCCTTTTTAAAAGCAGTTTTTGTGGTTTTCCAAACTTCTTCCCACCCCTTCACCCATTGATTAAATGTTTGGGAAGTGGAGGGTGCCTGGGAGTATTCGGGTATCATGTTGAACTCTTTCCCTGTGGCTACTTTAAAAGGCATGAAACCAGTGCTGCTGGGAACAGAGTTATTGTAAGCCACCTCTGTGAAGGGGAGTAGGTCAGTCCTGTTAGTTTGTCAGTAGCTGACATAGCATCTGAGATATTGTTCCACCACTGAGTTCATGGATTCAGCCGCTCCATTAGTAGATGGATGAAAAGCAGATGATAAACCTTGAGATGAATCAATTAGTTTAAATGTCTCCAAAACTTAGCTGTGAATTGCACCCCTCTGTCTGAGATTATTCGTTTAGGTGCGCCATGCAGCTGGTAGATGTGTTTCAAAAACATTTTGGTCA